GGTTGGCTCGCGGCGCTGTGTCCCCCAGCCGGGGGCTCACCCTGCGCTGCCCCAGCACCCCCACGGCCGCGCCGCGGTGTCAGGGAGAGCCTTCCCTTCAGGAGCCTCTTAGCTGTGGTGACTCTAATGATTTAATCTGAATTCCACCGGAAACTTGAAACCTGCTGGTTTCTCTGCTGTTGTAATTCCTAACAAAGGCTGTGAATTTTTGCGCGTGTAGCGTTAATTTTTTAATTTATACGTTGTATCTTGCTTCGTAAGTGCTGCAGCACCCCCAAGAAGATGCACGAAGCGTGTAAATGCAATAAAGAGTTAAATAACGTTTTAAAGTTGTTAGGAAGAATGCGATAGGATGCGTGGCTCGGATTTTATGACGCAGTTTCAGGGAGTGCAGAGGAGACTTCTTCCTCTGAGCATGTGTGAATGGCTACAAAGTAGAAGCTGGTTGAGTAATGGGTAGCAGGCACAGAGTAGAGTGGTGGTTAGTGTATATGCAGTTAAGCATTGGAGTTGTTCTCTGACTCTTAAGCTTTTGCACTTTAATCATTTTAGGTCCCTAGAGGGGTGGAGAATGCTGCATATGACCTCAGAAAAGGGAAAACTCAGGTGACTGGCAAAAGGGCTGCTTTGGAAGAAATTGGAAATAAAGTTTCGACAAGAGGAACACACATAACCAAGGTAAAGGAACATCTGAAATCTCTGTACAGGGAAAAGCAGAATTACTGATTCTATACTAACAACAGTTGCTGTTACCACAGAAAGCAGAATGCCACAAAGTATCCGTAAAGCCTGTGAAAGGATCTAGCAAGGTGACAAATGGAACTGCACTGCCTAAACTCTCAGCTGCTGAGAATCAAGCAATCAAAGGAACTGATGTGCCAAAGGTAGGAAGCAATGATACTGTTCTGCTTCTTAATTTGATTTGCAACTTAGAGCTCTAACTTCAGAACAGTTTCTCTGTAGCTGTGTCTTATTTCCCTGCTGAAAAAGCAAAGCCTCTGTCCTGGGGATGGTTTAATGCATGTTGTATTTAAAGGCTGACATCCAAGTGGGAGAATTAGCTGTGGAGGTACTGCATGAAGTTTCTGCTTTAGCTGCCAGTTGCTAGAAGGTCTTCTGATTCTGTCCATATGGTGTCTCTGTGGAAGTTTTCTGCACTGGAGTGCAAGCTTGGTGCCAGCTGCTGTCTGAAGAACTTGTGTTAGTCATTGGGAAGTGTGGAAACGAGGGAACATTGCAGCTCAAACAGTAGATACGCATAAAACACTATGATCTGTTCCTCAGGTTACGTCTCCTGTCCCTATGGACGTATCTATGCAAGAGGAGGATTTGTGCCAGGCCTTCTCTGATGTGTTGCTCAACAACATCGAAGACATCGATGTCGAGGACTGGGAGAATCCCCAGCTGTGTAGTGACTACGTGAAAGATATCTACCTGTATCTGAGAGAGCTCGAGGTATGTATGGTGTGCTGGGTCTGCCCGTGTGTCTGCAGTGTGGTGTGGACCCGTTGCTCACACAGCTCTCCCCCAGCTGCAGCAGTCTGTGCGCCCACACTACCTCGACGGGAAGACAATCAACGGGCGCATGCGCGCGATTCTGGTCGATTGGCTTGTCCAGGTCCACTCGAGGTTCCATCTCCTGCAGGAGACACTGTACATGTGTATTGCGGTTATGGATCGCTTCTTGCAGGTAAGGTGTCTTTCAGCTTATGTTCAGATTGACTCCTTTTTAAGGAGTTCAGGATTCATCCTTTCTTTTTAAATCTAAGAACCTACAAAATCTGCTCCCTGTGTAAGACCTGTTGTAGCAGCTTAACTCAGAGGCTGTGGCCTCTCTGAGCCTGTCGTTATAGAGACTCTTGTGACTCAAAGTGGAAAATCTCATCATCGTTGTAAGAATGAGCACTGTCATAGTGGTATTTTAAATAGATACATTCAAATCTGTTTATCTAGAGTTTGGCATTTTGGGGCCCTTAGGCTTTTTGAACTGCTCTATTGCAGAGTCATCCAGTACCTCGCAAGAGGCTTCAGCTGGTGGGTGTAACAGCACTGCTTATAGCTTCAAAGTATGAAGAGATACTGTGTCCTGACGTAGCAGACTTCGTTTACATCACTGACAATGCCTACACCAGTAGTGAAATCAGAGAAATGGAGATGACGATTCTCAGAGAACTAAACTTCAATTTGGGGCGTCCTCTTCCAATTCACTTCTTAAGAAGAGCATCAAAAGCTGGGGAGGTGAGTACTTGACTTCATTATCTAGCACTTTCCTGTGTTTATAAAGTCTGTCAGGATTGCTTCTGCCTTTGTTATCATGTGATTTTCCTTGTCTTCTGCTTAAGTGCTGGATCGAGGAATACTCAGCTCTGGAACTCCACCGTGTGGAGTAACATGGCAATATTACTGTGCAGCCAATAGTGGTTCACGTTTGTATTTACTGGGGCCTATGTTCAGGCTTAGTGGCAGTAATTCTGCTGTGAAACTAAAGTTACCCACAGCAGAACCCTTGCTTTTAGTCTTTTTAATCCTGCTGATCAGGGTACTTAATAAAACACTAGCAGTGATGCAGTTCTTTGTAGGTTTTGGTTGTAAATATTGAATCATTTAATAATCAGAAGCTCAGCTTTCCTTTGAGCCAACCCCTTTTTTTCCCACCTCAGTATTTATGCTCAAGTGAACTGTCCACACCTGAAATGGGTTTCTATTACCTCAACAGAACACTGGGTAACTCTTGGTTTAGTAAGGATCTCCTTAAGTCACTTTATATTTCTGCTCCCTTAGTGTGTATTACAGAGGGAATACTTGTTGGGCATAGCTGTACCTGATCCTGCAGTTTTCTGTTAAAATCCCTCACTTGACTTTGTGTCTCAATTCCAAATGGCTGCTACTCTAGACTGATTTGCACTCTGGTCTCATTTTGAGATGAATGCCTGTTTGAGTATGGTCCCTAGACTGTAGTAAAGATTTTGTTGCCTATTTTTGTTTTGTTATTGAATACAATAAGCAAATCTGAATAATTATGATAAGGTGAAGTGAAACTTTGTGGATTTACAAGCTCTCAATCTGCTAGGCCGATGCTAAACAACATACTCTTGCAAAATACCTGATGGAGCTGACACTGGTAGACTATGACATGGTTCACCATTGTCCCTCAGAGATTGCAGCTGCTGCATTGTGTTTGGCCCAAAAGATTCTGGGACATAGCCAATGGGTAAGTGTTTTAATTAAACTTGTTGTTAGGAGATTTTTCTTCAGAAAACTGTGTTTAGGTTTGTAATAATGCTGGTCGTCAAAGGACAGCTGGACAGCCTGATGCACAGTTGCAGGTAGAAAAAGGAATAGAGCACTAAAAATTTAATTTTCCTGTGTGAGCACTGTGGTATGATTTTTCTCTTGAGAGCACTGAATTACAGAAAGCCTCACTGTAAATAGAGTTTCATAATTCTTGCAGTACCTTTAGCACAATGAAGTCATGGTCCACAAATAGTGAATTGTAATTCAGCTTGTGGTTGCGCTTGCAAAAGTTGCATCTTTTACCCTCTGTACAGTGTAGAAATGTGGTCCTTGAATTGATGTGTTCAGACTTGTGTACATCAGAACTTAGTCTGGATCTGTCATTTAAACTGACAGCTACAGTTCCTAGCACTGAGGCTTAGCCATGGAGCTTAGGGTGTTTGTTTGCTGCCTGAAGTGGTTGTGAACAGCAATCTCCCTTCACAAACCTCACGTTCCTTCCCCTTGTGCTGCAGGGTTTAAAACAGCAGTACTACACTGGCTATGCAGAAGACAATCTTGTGATGGTTATGAAACACATGGCCAAGAATGTGGTTAAAGTAAATGAGAAGTTAATAAAATACACTGTAAGTATAACTACTTAAATCCTCTCTAATGGTTTAAAAATAGCTTTGCTGCATATTGTGGATCCTTTGGCATGTTATCTGAAAGCATATGCTATTCTTACAAGCCTGGGAGAGGCTGTGGCATTAGTATAAACTTCAAAACATTTTAGATAAACTGTGCTCTTGCTGTTTAGCAAGCTGGTTCACTTCCAGCCTTATTTGCTTTGTTTTCCAACTAGTCAGACCCAAAATTATCTTCCTGAACATACTGTCTGTAAATCTATTCTGACAGCTCTGTTTCTCTACCTCTGCCAGGCTATAAAGAACAAGTATGCAAGCAGCAAACTCCTGTCGATCAGCGCAATCCCTCAGCTGAGCAGTGAGCTGGTCAAGGACCTGGCTGCCTCTCTCCTGTGAAAGAAAACCCTCTGCAGCCAAGGCCTGATGATGCATGCACTTTGTCTATTGAGGAACAACTACTGCTCTTTGTACATAGCATTCCAGCCTCACCACAGACGTTTCTGACTCGCTCAAAAAGGTGAAGTTTTAACCTTGCTGTGTAATAGAACCTTCTACCTAGAAATAAAGCTCCTCTCTTTTTAAATACTCTTGAGTGTGACTCTTTAAGGTACTGCCTAGATGTCTCTGCAATCTGATGTCCAAGCAGGACATTTGACTAAAGAGGTGATTGATGCAACTGGCAATTAAATGGGAATGGTTAGTCTCTGTGGTTGTTTCCAGTGACAATCTCCAGGCTTTTTATAATGCATTATGTTTATTATTTTCACTCTTAAAGTAAGAAAGAGCAGGCAGGCCAGTTCATCTTTTTTTGGTGTATCTTAAAGAATACTAAATATGTACTTTATTTCAGCAGTTTGTCCCAAGGAAATATACAGGCATTTCTCTTTTTATTTTATTGTAGTTTATTGCCTTCAAATTTGGGGACAGAAGTAGGGGGGCTTTAACAGATGATAACCTTGTAAATCTTTGTGTTTAGATGAATGTGCCGTAATGTGTTGTCTGTCTCCCTGAGCCTAAACAAAGGGAGCTATGGTAGGAAAATTCTGAGTCTCCTGTCATGGTAACCACTGTGCAGGGGAAGCAGGGCTGAGACCTTTTGAAATGAGCTGGTTTTAAAATCTCCTTAGCAGCTTTTCATTTACCTGTTCACTTGCCCCACACTCACCTCTTTCTTCCCCTTTTTCCCTTCTCCAGTAACCCTCTGTACCTGCAGTAATACACTCCATACCCACCATAAGCCAGTGCTTCCTTGTCACTAAACATTTTGCTTTCCTTTGTCTTTTAGCATTCTCTGTATGCTCAAGGAATACAAGCATGTAAGTAATAGGACTCTTCTGCCTCAATACCTCATTTAAGTCTGTTTGTAAAATTAGTCTTAGTTACAGACTTCTTGCTATTCTCCATGTTACACTGTCCTCATTACCTCCCTTCCAACCCTAACCATACTATGATTCTTCCAGTGTAATCTCTTCATGGGTGTGCTGCTCTGCTACAGGAAGCAAGAACCTAATGCTACAGAAATGGCCTAGACCTCAGTGCTCCCCAGTGGGAAAGATGTTGTAGCTACTGGTTTTTATCTATCTTCTTAAGCAGAAGACTTCTCTCTCCCATAGGATAAGTAAGCCTAGTACTTACTGCACATGGTCTTTAGGAAAACATGTTTGGTCCCTCGTGTGTATGTAATTCCTCCCCTGGACCGAGGTCCTAGTTTCTAGCTCCCAGAAGCAGCTTCTACAGTCAGTCATCTCTTAAAGGAGATGGAGTTTGTGTGCCTAAATTCGACTTAGGCAATGGTGTAGGAGGGAGGGGATTCAAGACTTTTTATGTTAAAGCTTATGCAACTTGTAAATGTTTACATAATGCAGGGTTTTTTAACTGCTCTTAACAAGAAAAAATGCAATGCCCAGCACTTCAGGTGGGCATAGGGAATGTGGTTTGGTTTGGGAAGTCAGTGCAGTAAAATCCAAAAGGATGTTGTGAGGGGATGTTTGTGCACGTGACTGAGAACAAACTGCACAGACAACACAGACCTGTTGAACTGTTTCCTGGGGTTTATTTTACGGAGGTTCAGAAGGCAAAGCATGAATTCTGATAACTGCAGGGCAAGCAACAGCCACTCTGGTGTGGGAGGCAATCAGACTTAAGCAATAACACTTTTGCTTTTGCCATTTAAAAGGAGTAGTGCATATCTGTAAGTACCTGGCATAAAAATTATAGTAGAACTACTTCATGAATAAGAACAGTGGACTACTACATTATACATTCATACATATTTCTATCATATTCAGTTTTTATATACAGTATATGATCTGTTTCTATAAATGTACAGCTCTGCATAAAGACACTTCTTATAACAGGTAGAGCATTAAACATAAATCCAACATGGGCCAGCCATATTATAATATAAATCTTGAAGAAGGCAACATTGTTTAGCATACAGTACTATGTGGTTTTCTGTTTTAACCTCTTACAGTGCCTGTTGGAGTCCCTAAACACATCAGCAAACACAAACCAGTTCCATTACAACTCTGTACACAGTTACTTAAATAGACCATCACAGTAGTTTTTTTAGATGGTAATATCCCAAATGAGCCTAAATCTTTTTGACATGTAGCAGCATACTCAACACGTTCCCCAGAATGATCTGCATTAGAGGAAATGTGCATTTAAAATTATCTTCAGTAGATAATTTAAAAGGTTACTGAGACTCAGCTAAAGGCACTTACTAAATACAGCCCTTCCGAAGTCCCTGCTCCACACTGCAAAGCACCTGTTTCAGGAAGATGGTAGGTTTGAGCATTCTTCACTCACTAGGTGCTGAAACCAGGTTTTAAATATAATAAATAATTGGTCATTATGTCCATTGCTGTATGCTGAGACGAAAGGTCAAAGTCTGTGCTGTGGGTAACTCTTCCTGCTCATGTACAACTTTACTGGTGAAAACACTGCTGAGAAGGGCAGATCTTGGAAGAACAATGTCCTGAAGGCAAGGGAAAATGCCTTCAACCACTGGGAACTTCATGCCAATTTCTCTCTTGACAGTCTTTTATATCTTGGTGACATAATTGTTGGGAAACAGACCTTGTTTCCCTCGTAGTCTTCCTGTCCACCAGCCAGAAGGATCTGTAACGAAGACAGCAAGGTAAGTGTGTTTGGGGAAAACTCTGTAAGCCTTTTTGTATACCTTTTTTATGCAGCCCTAAAACCTGTGCCACACAGTGAGAGCTGCCTTGTGCAGGGCTGAGATTTGGGGGCTTGATTTGGAGAACCTGAACTTGCTAATCTTTTGGCCAGATCACTACACCTCAGGAGGCTGCTTTGGAGACCCAGAGTCAGAACTGCTTAATTACTTTTTGATTCATGTGCTACAGCTGTGGTTTTGGCTAATTTTCATCTAGAGCCTGTGATGGAGTTACTCTCACTAAACCTGCAGATCTGCAGGACCCAAGTGATGCACACACATCATGGATCTACCTCTCACATGCTCTAAGTGACCAGCTCCAATTGGTGTGGGTGTGGAGGCTTCTCTGCTCCCTGAGCTATCCTGGAAACTTTCAAGCCTAACAAGGGGAGATGGATGACTGTGTGGTGGCAGGAAAGTCATGTCTTAACTGCTTCTGGCAGTGCAGCTGCAATATTAGTGCTGAAGCAACAAAACCTTTTCTCTCTACGTACCTTCTTTGATGATATCAATCACATCATTGGCGTTAAAGCTGAGTTCATCTGTGTCCTGAGCATCATATGCATACAGTGCCCTGCACTGTGGTACCTGAGGCTTGGGCTTTGGCTGGGGCTTCGGCCTTCCCCCAGCTGGTGGGGGACGATTCGTCGTCTGCCTGCGGACACTGCCGGGAGACACAGCGTCAATGTGCTTCAAAGATCACCACCTGAACCCAAGTTTTACCAAACCCTTCTGTCTATTGAATTCTCTTTTCATCCCACAATAAGGGAAGAAGGATTCTCTTAAATGTCACAACAAGGGGAAAAGGATTTTCTTATATGTCACAACAATTAAAAATAGCAGTATGAGACTTCCCTGCAAAAGGGACAGAATTGCTGTTTCTTTCCAACAAAATGGGTAATAAGTACTTCCAAACAGCACTTCAAATGCATAGAAAGACATTTTAGTGCTCAGGCTGAAATGTAAGTAAATGTGCACATGCAGTTCATGCATATCTTGGCATCTACACAGCTTAGTCTGTCTCTCCCCTTGCCCCAACGTCACCAGGGATTTAGTTTTCAGTATTAAAAACACAGTTCTAGCTGACAGACTTGCTACTTTACCATTCTTGTGACTAAGCTGTAAGAGAGACTTGCATCTCTTTTAAGTTGCCTCAGACTCCAGGGCCATCTACGGACTTGTTCTGTTATAGCCAACTCTGAAGCAGCAGGGGAGATGCTGCACAAACTCTGTCACAGCTGTGACCACTCCAAAGATTAGGAAGGGGAAAGAGGGAAGAAATGCATTTTGCCAGCTCATCAGCTAATAAAGGCTGGAAGAGAGAACAGGTATTAGACTCAATATGTCAGTTTAAAATTAATAATAAATGTGCTGAATGACTAAAAATGCAGTGATGTGGAGGAGAATGAACTGTGGTCATGTCATGTAATGCCATGATAACACTACAAAGCTTTTGCAGAAAAGGTTTAGTTACTTACATGAAGTCCTAGGCTTAATTTTTGTCAAGACACGCCTGTTTAGTTCTAACTGAACTGCACTAGAAAATAAGCTTTGAAGTATGGGCATGAAGTATGAAGAGCATTTTAGTTCTCCATTTATCTACTTGGGAGGAGATTTTCTCCTGTTCTTTAGCATGTGCTGACTTTTCTCAGGCTAGGATATGTTGTGAAACCCACACCTATGTATGGAAATTAAGGAATTCAGCACAAGTCTTAGAAAAGTAGCTCAGCTTTTGTGCACCACAGTAGAACAAGAACATCTTAGATGTTTTGCTGGTGGGAGCATGTTGATTTTCATCTTGGTCTTGCACTAGATTGTTAGCACCAGTGCATCCTTCTCAACAGCTTTGCTAAAAATAAACCTAATTCTAACCCTTAGAAATTACATCTGCTTATAGATGGCTGTGGTTTGGAAATACTGATGTTACAACTGCTCTAGCTCACATCTAGAGTTTTTCCTTTTTAAAAAGAACAGTCAGAGAAAAACTCTGAAATCCACTGCTGAATACAGTCATGTTGTTTCTTTTCAGTGCCTTAGTAAAGGAGCTCCTAATGCTCAGGAATGCAGCCTTGCAAATGGCACTTTAGTACAAGGACTTCCTTTGGTCTGTTACTCACTCCTAGGAGGTTTGTTTTTCACAGTGGTGAATGTCTTGGAGAAAACTGAGGGCAGTAATGCTGGGAATGGTACTAAACAAGAAGAACTGGAAGGCAGAACCCCTCAGGTGTACCAGATAGGCAGCAACTCCTCTATTGGACTGTTAAGGTCTAAGACATCACTTTGTTAGATGTTCCTTTACCTCACACAGTAGCATCCTTGTTTCTGCTGCATGTTGCCTACAGCTGTGGCTCACTTTGAGAGAAAAACAACAAACCAGACCACCCTCAGTCCCCAACTTCCTCTTCCCTCCATACCTCCTTCCTCAGAATAGTAAACTATGTTACTAATTGCTCTTTTATCTTACTTGTGGCTTCCTATAGAGAAGTTTGACTTCCATAAAACCCATCTAGAAGGGAGTGTGATGGATGCCTGTTCACAACTTGTTCTGGTTGCAGTTCCTGCTGTTGGGGGATTTCTACCACACACAGTTATTGGTGAAAACTGGGGCAGACAGTGATGCAGTGTGTTTTATTGTTTGCTTTTTTCATTCCTTTGGACTCCACTGATCAGAATTTAAATGGTAACTGAGTAACAGAAGCTTTAATAAATGCTAATCATCCCTGTAAACTCCCAAGACTGAAACAGATGGGGTTGTTGATGCATACCCACAGCATTAGGAACTGTGGTATATGATGCAATTGATCTTTTTAATCCAACATCTTAGTTCTTATCATTCTGTACTTGGTGGCTGCTACATTTTACACGTGTCAGTCACAGTTGCTGACAGAAATCACAATGGGTTTATTCTATGGCTTATGTGGTTGTGTTGTGGTTATCTGAACCATAGTCTCAAGACAAAGTAGAAGTCTAATATTAGTAAAACAGCTTTAACAAGGAAGCTGACATGCACTGAGAAAATTTCCCCACTTAAGGGAATGGAAGTTATTACAAGATGGAAATGTGTCTGGCAGTGTTAGCATGTGCTGACAGTTTTGAAATTGTTAAATAGCAGTGGCCACTTGTTTTCTGATTTCTTTCTCAACTGAGGACTAATCTTAAACAGCAAAATGCCCTTAATATGCTTGAAATATCTTGTGGTTGACCCTTGGTGCACAGCAGGGAAAAATGACTGTCACTAGTACAACTGAACAGACCTGTACATACCAAGTCTTGCTCTCTGTGCTTAGGAGCTAGAAAGCCTCTACACTTAGGAGCCCTGTGCATGTTTGATACTCAAAACCTATCAATTATGCACACTCATGTACTATTTGATTGCTGTGAGGTGTCTAATGCTCACTAGAAGCAACATCAAGTAATATGCTAAGTCAGCCAGTTGGATCACCCGTGAAAAAGAGTGCTTAGGCCAACAGGATAATTTAGTGCAGAACACCTGCTAGGGAGCTTGTCTGCTGACTGACAGCTGAGACAGGGCTGTTTAGATAAAATGTTGCTCTTGATGTGGTTAAAAATGAGTAATTTTTTGCTGCCTCTAAGAACCCCATTGATGTGGATCACTGGAAAAGGGACTGAGCTGTTCCATCTAGTCTCAGAGTATTTCAGGGCTGAGGGCAAATGTGTTAAGGGGCTGCAGAAGGTCAGGTGGAAACCTGGTTAAAGTTTGACTTAACCTTGACTTCTCCCAGATTACCCCAAGTGCTAGTTCCTGCACACTTAGGAAAATGATGATAGTCTTAGAACTTTGGTCCCAACTGACAGCTCAGGGTACCAATGTCACTGCTGTCTCACTGCAGCAGACAATATATTCAGGGGTGAAAGAATGCATATTAGAATAGGATTTGTGTGAGACTTAAATACTCAGGGAGTTCCTTAGGCAAAACTCATCGTACAGCAGTGTCTCTGGTTTTACTTCAAACTTACCCACCTCCTTCAGGGGGTGTTGTGATAAGCAAAGGCTGACTCTGCCATGGGTCAGACAAGGCACTGGTGTGAGGTAAAGCCAACTGCTGTGTGCCTGGAGAGGCTCCTCACTGCAGAGGGAGGCAATGAGCTGTGGGAAGGGAAGGGAGGGGAAGGGAGGAGCCATTTGCGGGAAGGGAAGCTGAGGAGGATTCTGAACTGTAATTTACTGAGAATGTGGAAGCACAGAGTTAGCAGCAGGAAAAATCAAAATCTCCTTTTGTTTTCCTCTCAGTATTATCTGGACAGAGCTGTAAGGACTGTGGCTTGTTCAACATAAAGGGGCTTCCCTACATAACAAGGAGCCTATTTATCAAGTGTTTACTTGAAGAGCTGTGGAGTATAGAATTGTGTCTGCACCAACCATTACTGTGCAAAGTTACTGCATTAGACCTTGCCACAGTGGATTTTTAGTCTATCTGCTGCTAATGTAACTTTCCTTGATGTAATGTGCTCTGCTGCTACTAATAGTAATTTCTCTGAGACTTGGTTACATCAGAATTAAATCATACAACTAGGAAGTCATCAGCAAACTGCCTCTTCTAAACCAGATTCTTGGTTTTTTCCCTAGGAAACACACAGCAGTCTCTGACAATTAAGTGGCACTCAGAGTCCCACTACAGTGAAGCTCCACTGATGTTCTACAAAAGTGGAATAAGAGCTGAGTTAAAGTAGAAAGACTTAGGTCATTGAGATACTTAAAATTTTGTACTTTGACAGTCAAATTTAAGATATTAAACTAGAACTGCTTCACCTTTATTCCTAAAAGTCTGTGATGGAATGTGTTCTGAAATCCTATGGAAGATGATGATACCTTTGGGTACAGTTCAATAGCACTATCTATCTGGTCATCAATGTGCACAGTATCTCAGTCATGAGCAGTTGGAGTGGATGAGGTTATTTACAAAAATTGACACTTTTCTATCAGATTCAATGTAAAATCTTACCCAGCTGCTCCTTGGTCAGGTACTTTCAAGAAGTCCAAGCTTTCTGGTTGCTGTGAAATCCTTCCAGATGCTCCTGACATTTGCTGTGGTAGAACTGGTCGTGTCATACTCGTGTACAGGTTTTTCTGATTGCCCCGTTGGTTCCCTGGGATGTGAGGATGTGCTGCAGGCTGAGGGGGGTTTATCACTCCATTTTGCTGCTGACCTAGAAGTAAATAAAGTGTGAACACATCCAGTCCAACCTCCAGTTCAATATAGGTAACCTCTTCCCCATGTTGATGGCTCAGCTGTCAGTGAGCCTCACACCTATCAAGGAACCCAAAAACAAAATCCTGTTGAAATGTTGATTTATACTGAGTTTCCAGTAACTGATGAGCTATTTTAGGTTCACAACTTCATGGACTTGTGCTCACACTGAAGGCATGTACCTTGAACATTACGAGCAAGCAAGAGCATTAGCTCTCAGCTGAATCCAAATGTTAAGTTAGCATGGTACCACCTCACTGCATAATATTTCAGCCAGGTAAAGGTGAACCCAAAGCTAGCCAGAATTCCCAGGGGGAGTCTCTGCTTTTTCTTTTGAACTTCAAACTCAGGCTACCTTGTACTCATGGAATTAGACTGGTCTTATTAAGTTGCTATAAATATTTGTCTATTTTAACAAGCAAGGGGTGTGTTTGGTTTTTTAATTGCTATTGTTTTGGTTGTTTTAAATAAAGATGCCTTGCTGCTACTTGGATAGGTCAAAAGGAGTTTGAATTTTCTAGGTGATGACATGGGTAAATGCCTTTAAATAATTATGCCTCTAACTTGAATTCAAAACAAACCCACCCATGTTTGAGCTACTTGCAGGATCAGTGCCTAAGGAGCTCAAGTCTGCATGCTTTACATTCCTAAAGCCCCTACTGAATAAAAGGGGAGCTATGCTTATACTACAGATCAGTTTGCTTACTCATGTGGGTGACCCTCTCCTTTTTCCATTGTGATTATGCTGGTTAAAAATTAGCAGAATGAATAGCTGTGCAGAGAGGAGAATTCATAATCATGACACTTGGAAAAAAGCTTACTGCATTCAATAACTGGGCTTTGCTTCTTATGTTCTCTTGATGCTGTGGCAGAGTTTAAGTCATAAACTCATACATAAACCTCACTGTGCCATCCCAGCTAGTAAGGCACATACATTATGGTTATATAAATGTAATATAGATAACAGACTGTCCTTGCTGTAACTCACTCACTATCTGCCTGCAGACAGGTTAGCTCCTTAAAGGAATTTCCTACCTTACTACAAGCAGTTCTTGCAGATCTCAGAGTCCTTACTGTGTCTCACACAGCTGTGAGGATTTGGAATCATCCAGTTAATCTGGTGACCCACAGACCACACCTCCAACTTCCACCACTAGCATTGTGCTTTCCAATAAACAGCAGCTGAGTGAAAGAGAACTCTTTGTTGCAGAAAAAAGAAGTAGTACTCTGGGAGTGTAAGTTAAAAAAAACCTCTTGGGAAACGTTGGGTCAATGGAATATTGTTCTCCCCTCTGAGTTCACAGGCAAAATTAATCATATCTCCCAAGGGCAGAAGTGGAACACCCTAATGACATCAATGCCATGCAGAAAAAAGCCACACAGTTTGCTGGCACAGCTGATCTGGCTCAGCACACACCAGAGCTGTAACATGGTCATCAGGGCAGGACAATGACACATACATTGCATGCTGTGGTTTATTGGCACTGAAAGCAGTTTCACTGCAAAGCATTGTCTCTGGCTTGATTAGCACAGAGCTTTTCCCCTTCAAAGAGGAGAAAGCTATGGGGTTAGTTTTAGAGTCAGTGTCTTATACTGACTGAACAAATTAGCATCCATGACAACCAAGATACAGCTCAGGGAATACCTGTTGGATTATCTGCAGACTCCAACAATACACTTCATAAAATGCCTACAAATATATGTTTTCCACATAGGATTTTAAAAGAGGATTTTAAACCTTTACTGTGATTTTTTTAATGGGTAAAAATTACCAGATGACAAGAGTAAAGCAAAAGCCTCCAGCTGGAATTTTGTTTTGCCCAAGGCTAGGAGGACTTACCAGGAGGAGGTGGTGCAGCTCTCATAGGGTAAGTCTGACTTTGTGCCCTGTTGGAATACCCTCTACTTTGGGTAAGGCTCCGTCTCGTAGGACCTAAAAGAAATCAGGAATGGTCTGTTAGCCTTTCACAGTTAATTAATTAGGTGAAGTCCTTCTGGCTTCAGAAAGAGCTGATCTTCAGGAACAAGGAATTGGACTCCTACAGTGTTGGCCAGGCTTCTCTAAAGTGTTAGGTGCAACAAGGAGGACTTTTGGCATATTCTCCCTTTTGTGATACAGTTGAGCCACAGCTGTGACCACAGCAAATAAGGCCCAGAACACTATTAGCTTTAAGAACTGTTCACAAACCATGGATAGCACAGCAGTACTTTTGACTATACTATATCTGATCAGCAATGAGTATGAGAAAAAGGTAGGACAGAGAACCTGAGGGCTGGTATATCTGCATCTCTGGCTTTGGTGGTGTACAGAGGTTATCTTTCTTCTTATCACCACGTGTCCTGATGCAGACCTTCCATCAGCAAGAGTGTAGGAACTGCAGGAGCTCTGGGCAGAGTGAAAAACTCTGCCCCAAAGGAGTTGCTAGCTGTGCCCTTTGTACTATGTCACATGGTTAAATGCCCTCATTTCTTCTGCTGCAGGGCAAAGAATTTCAGCCATTTCAGAAACAGTTGGTCTCCAGTGAAAGTCACCAAATTCCAACATGCCTGTAGAGCAGCAACCTGCTACATTATTAGGAACTTCTTGTAAGTGTAGAGAGAAATGATAAAGAACATGGTGAGGCTAGAGACAAGCAAGGATAGAAAGAGTCAACCATTCTCTAAATTTCTAAACCAGTCTCTGAATTTCTGGAGGAACTGATACTCACGGGAATTCTTTGGTAGTCCTGGGCCGATGCTGATCTGCAGCACTTTATTACTTGGCTTGAGAATGGCTATTTCTCCTTGGCCTTGCATAAACTGCACTTGTCGAGAACCAGCACTGCTCCAGGGCCCCCAGCTCTCCTTTTTCAGCTTCACTTCAAGTCTAATAGAAGCATGTGAACACATGAATAAAAACCCAGCACTTCTACACCAGATCAACACAATATTGTTTGGCAGCAGATAACTTAGAAATGTAAAAATGAAAAGCCTAGACTGAGAATCTTTATTCCCTGAGTGACTTAGCTGACGTAAACTACCTAATCTTTTTTTTCATGCTTTTAAAAAAATGTTCTTAAATTACATTCTTAACTTTCTAGGTAGAGCTACTCAAAGGAAGCTTAAGATGCACTAGAGAGGAGAGAGAGTACAGTGAGTTTTGAAGAAAACTGTGCACAGGTCTGAATAGGAGATGTGTCTGCCATGAGACATCACTGCCTCTGCAGCAGCCCCTACAGCAGCAAGCTAGAGTGCTCTATTTTTGAGCAATCTTCTGCACATACCATTAGATGTGCATATACATTAGATGTATAGATGTATGTGCACTGGTATGTACATGCCTGTATATGCCTTGGGACAGGCCTTGTGCATATTCTGCAAGGAAATGTTTTGGCACACATATACTTCAGACTTGTCAATTTAAATTTTTTT